ATGTCGGCACTGAAACAGCAGCATTTTGTCACAGATCAGGGCCCCGTTGTGCCAGGCGCTGTACAGACACCTGCTCCTGCTCCATCGGCCAGCGCCACAGCAGGCAGCGGAGTCCCTTAGCGCCCGTGGGCCAGGTTCAGGGGGGATGAGAGCAGGTGTAAGGGGATCGAAGGGAGTCGAGCCGCACCGGAGCCATTCCACCAAGGGGCTGGGAGAAGGGCTCAGCTGCACCATGGCCCATTCCCGGGGGCTGCAGGGATGGACACAGGGATCCCTCCCTGAGGCAGCAAAGGGCAGGGGAGATGGTCGTTGTTACAAGACCTTCCTATGTGCGCCTGCCCCGCTCATGTCCCCTCTGCTCCCTGCAGGGCTAGATAAACTCCCGGGAGCCTTGTCTGCAGCTCCCACTTGCTTTCCCTGGGACGCCGGGTGCTCATGTGGGGGAATATCAGCCCCTCGTCTTGGCCGGCTCTTGCCTCGGGTAGAACTGACCCTCTCCTCCCCGCATCGTCACGGCTCCTCTCCAGCCCTCGGCAGTCTCTGGGGATGATAATCTCGCCCACTGTCTCTCAGCTGGGGCCTGCAGGCTGGGCGACTAACTGTCCTGGCAGGCGCTTGTCTGCAGAGAATGGTGCTGCCTGGGGAAAGGTCTGAACTCTGTGGCTGGGGAACAACTCCCAACTTGCAGAGCACAGACTGGCAGAGCCCCCAGCCTGGGCTGAGATCCATGGCCCGGGCCTAGTGGAGCTATTGCTGCAGGCTTGCCGCAGATGGAGGCCTCAGTTCATGATCCGCTCACGCTTTCAAGGTTCTCTCAGCAGCTCTGAGGGGGAGGCAGGGGGGTTATGATCCCCTGGTGGGGCCTCAGGTTGGGACCCTGTGAGCCAGCCCAGTGGGTCTGACCTCCCTAGGCTGACACCCAACGATATTGCTGCAGAAAGGTCACAGGGCCACGTGCCACATTTTACCCATCCCCTGGCTCAGGCCCAGCTCCCATCCATCTCTCCCTAAACCCTCGACGTGCCCGGAGTCCCCCTGTAGCAATGGCTATGATGTTCCTAGGCTTGCAGCTCTACAGCACCCTGGGCCTACAGGCTCTGGCCTCCAGGGCAGCGTGCCAGGTGGACAGCCCCAGAGACACGAAGCCCAGGGCAGACAGGGTCTGGACTCTAGTGCAGCCTGTCACGGACTCACAGGACTCATGCACTCTCTGCTCTTTACAGCCCCTGGGGGGAAACCCCTTCTGTGCGACAGTCCTTCTCGGGGGTCCCCTCTCTCTCGGGGGTTAAACCCCTCCAGCTCCTCGAACTGCACCTCTGAGCCTTAGCATGCCTGTCTCTTGCTGTGGGCCCCTTCAGGAGTCCCCTCGCTCTGGACACCCGGGGCCTCCACTCCCAGAGGGAATAATGTCACCCTGATATCTAGCCTGGAGCGACTCTCAGCCAGCGTAAAACAGGAGGGTTTATTGAGCGTCTGAACACAGTACAGGAAATTCTCAGGCCCTCAGGCCTGGCCTCCCTCAGCACAGTACATCTAAGTGTCTTCTGCATCCAGGTGGGCTCTGCCTGTTCTCTCTTTCTAGCCCAGAAAACCCCTCCTTCAAGCTGGGCATCTGATATCACCGTCCCCTAGTCCTGCCTCTGTCCTTTGTCTTTTGTCCAGGTAGATAGACTGCATGGGCCTCCTCTCCTCTCATTTGTCCCCTGTTCCCCTCTGGCTGGAAATGGCTGGTCACCAGGGTCCTCTCTCCTCAGCCCATTATCCTCCTATTGGCCAGAACCGGCTCTGACTCCGGAGCTGGGCCTCCCAGTCACCAGTTCACTAGTTGCTGGGGTATCCATTCTCCAGGCTGTTCGCTGGCTCTGTGTAACAACAAACTCCCTCTCCCATCACCTTCTTAAACCAGTAACACACAGGAAAACTGAGTCCCACGCCCTCTGCAGGCAAACCATTGAAAACAACAAGAAAACCCACTGCTTCGTCACAGAGCCCCTGACTCACAGACCCCAGGGCACGCAGGGTCTGGGCTCTAGGGCAGCCCCAGAGTCACGGACTCCACAACCTTCCCCGTCATGGCAAATTTCAGCATTTCAGGTTCTGTCCCAAATGGGAACCAAGCCGGATTTAGAGCTAGTGACTCCTCCCGGCAGTGGAATTACCGTTCCCCACACAGCTCTGGCAGCCGGGCCTGCTCCTGATTACAGCTGGGGTTAGACACCGGGAGAGTCAGGCACTGGCAGTGCCAGGGATACATTTGGACCCTGCAGTGCTGGCAGGGGGCTGGGCTGGCGCCCGGCATCGGCAGTGCTAAGGAAGAGCGTTAGGGCAAGAGCAAGAGGCTGTGGCACCCACCATTGAGCAATGGCTAGACCCAGTCTCCAGAAACTCGTCCCGGATTCCAATGACCTGGTCCCTGCAGCCCTGTCTGTGCCGGCCTCTCTTGGGCAGGGGGGAACAAGGCTGCAGCATGCTGGCTCTGGCAAGCTCCAGCCTCGGCTGCCCTTCACCCCTGTCTGTCTGACCTCACACCTGGGCAGGGCAGGGAGACCGCACTGACCTCGCCGATCACAGAGCTTCTGGCGATGAGCAGAGCTGGCGTCGGACCCACTCCCTGCCAGCAATACCTTTGTCCCCCATGGGCTGTTGGCGTGAAGTTGGTTTCTCTCTTGGGCAGATAAAGTGGCTGTTAAGTGGCTCCCCTCTTTTCTCTCTGAGACAGCCTAGAGAACAGTACTAGCCACTAACCCCTCTGCCCCGTGTGACCCTGCGGGGTCGGGGCTTGCCCCCCACCCTGTGTGTGCTCTGAGGGATGGGGAGCAGACCTGACGCTCAGAGAGGGACGGGAACCCCGTCTGCCTGTGACAGGAGCCCCCTGGGATGGAGAATCCACCATGAGCCTTGAAAAATTGTTCCAGTGGATAATTACTTCCACTGTTAAAAATGTATGCCTTCTTTCCGATCTGAATTTCTCTAGTTTTAACTTCTAGACGTTGGATCATGTTATACCTTTCTCTGCTAGATTGAAGAGCTGATTGTTAAATATTTGTTCCCCTTGTAGGTACTTATCGGCTGTCATTAAGTCACCCCTTAACCTTCTCCTTGGTAACCAAAGTATATTGAGTTCCCTGAGTCTTGCACTGTAAGGCATGCGTTTTAATCCTTTAGTCATCCTTGTGATGTGCTACATCTTATCTCGTGCTCCCCAAGAGAGTTAAATTGTAAGGCCTTTGTCTTCAGTGGGATTCTGGGAGAGGGTGTGTTTAATATGCAGCATAAGTTGAGGGGGGTGGTTGGACTGCATTGCAACTCTGAACAGGGGGTGCTAGATGGAGGATCAGCACCTCGAGAGCAGGCATAGGGACCTCAAGACGGGCAGTGCCTGGGCTCTGTTCAGACTCTGAAGGCTTAAATATGGAAGGCAATTGCTGGCTCTCCCCACAGCAGTTTGGTGAGTGGCCAAGAGGGGGCGCTCAATCCAAGCTATGACAGTTGCTTCCTAACAGGTTGTGTGGGTGTTGCTGCTTGTGCTGTCACAATCCAGGAGAGCGAGGAGAGGAGCTCTGGAAGGAGCTACACTTTTTCCCCCAATAGTGTTCGACATTGCCCTTCCTGAAATGATCCAAACAGCAACACTGCATTCATCTGTTTTGCAAAACATATTGTTCTACTGCCCTAGACTGGGATTTTCAGACAGGCCTAAGGAAGTTAGTTGTCCAGCTCCTTTAACTCCTTTAGTCTCCTTTGAAAAATGCCACCCTAATGTCTTTTTGTTTCTGAAAAGATTTTGTTTCTCCTGTGAAGGATAGATAATGTTGGTCCCGGTGTAGAGAGGAGGAGTGGATGAGGCTGAGGAGCCAGGGTAGGGGCTGAAGCCCAAAATAATTTAGAACAAATTAAGCTCTCTCATAAATTTGTGCCATAACTCGTGTCCTTTGAAGAAGCAAGAATGAAGCGCAGTATATGGGTTGTTTTGATGGGAGCGAATGCCTGTGTGATGTTCAGGCCAAAAGAGTGGAACTGTTCGGGAAAGGGTTCGTTTTATGGAGTGCAGGGAGACATCTCCAGACCTCTGGGGGATTATGTGCTGGAACATCTACCCTGAAAGGAAAATTGCCACTTGTTCTCCCAGTCACAGCCCTGGGAACTGTCACTCTGGAGCTCAGGTTGCAGACCCTTTTCCTTCCTGCTCCATTAGATTTGTGAGTTGCTCAATTATTTATTTTTTCTCGGTGCTTCCCAACCGAGGAAGAGGGAAGGATATGGGAGAGCACAACCCATTCCCCCCGTCTCACCTGCACAAAGTTCAGAATTCCCTAACAGAAATGACAGCACTTCGGCCTGGTCTAAACATAAGGCCGTTTTCCTCAACCTAATTCTGTCAGTGTCCACACTGCAGCCCTGTCCCGCTGATGAAAGTGCCCTACTACACCGACATCATATCTCCACGAGAGGCGTAGCACTTATGTTGGTGTAGTTAGGGTGATGCAGTGTCTGTGCAAACACTCTGTTATTTACATTGGCTGTTTGCTGTCTTGAGCCCGGCTATCCCCGGGTCCCCACTTCCAGCCAGGCTGCTGCCCGGAGGCTCCCTGCTTCCTGTTCATGGAGTCAAGAACCCTGGGCAGCTGGGCCCCGCTCCCACTGGTGGTGGCAGGGCGGGGGAGGCAGCTGAGCTCCTGGAGAGGAGCTGCAGGGAACTGAGAGCTTTGGCTCTCAGCCTCCCTCACTGCCCCTCTTTAGTCTGGGGCAGGGCTCCTGGTGAGGACACGCATCACCGACAGAAGGAGGGTAGTGTGGACATCAGCCACCACAGAAATTACTAACATAGGTCGACTTAGGGCTGTAGTGTAGACATGCCCTGAGAATGGAGCAAATCCCACGCCAGTCTGGAAGTCAAATTAATTTACAGAGAAACATTTGAAGAAGAAACAATCCCAAAGCTTTTTGTGCGGTTGAATTTATTTTTATTTTTGCAAAGCTCTTGGCATTCCCCAGGCAACAGAGGGACAGAGCTCTTTGCCCTCTGTTACATCGAAAGACACCACAATCAATGAGCAGCACAGTAATCAGTTAGAGTCGCAATCAGTCCGACTGATGATTCTCATGTGGCATTTGATTGGTCAGGAGAGGTGTGAGGCAGCAGCACGGGAAGCGTAATGGCAGGCATCGTCACCGGTTCAGCAGATCTGGTTTCATCAGCGTGTCTCTTATTAATTCATCATCCCAGGGTCTGCAGGGCCAGGGAGAGATGGCAAACAGCAATTATGGTCCCAGTAACTCACTGGGAATAAGACAAGTACCCTCTCCCATACCCTGAAGGATTCTGTCCCTTTCTATCCCCAGCCAGGTGAGTGCATTTCACATCAGTGCCCTTTGCAAACTGTGTTATTGATAGACTGGAAAAGGGAGTCAGAGAGGAGTCAAAGCCCTGCCGATCAGCTCCTCCCTCTGCCCCAGCAGTGTGCAGGCGGTGCTGGGGCTGAGCGGGTAGGAGCGAGGGTGGGGCACTCTCTGGGAAAGGGGCGCAATGAGACAGCAAGAGGTGGGGCAGAGCAGGGGCTGGAAGAGGCAGAGTGGGGGTGGGGCCTTAGGGGAAGGTGTGGAGTGGGGGCACGGCCTGGGGCAGAGCTGGGGGTTGAGGACCCCCCGGCACATTAGAAAGTCAGCACCTCAAACATTTAACAACAGTGTTTTTTGCAAATGAAAAATAATTATGATTTTGTTTTCTGTTGAGAAACCAAAAAAAGGCCTGGGCTATTTTTGACACTAGAAGGAAAAGAAGAGCTGGAAACTGTTTTATTGAATCTTATGACACATCCTGAGAAGAGAAGAGGCTCTTTCCTGAACTCTCACTTAGGTTAGCAGGAGAATCAAAAGCACAATGGGCAGTTCTGTACCCAGCACTGTAGGGGGCAGTGTCATTTTGTGGCTGGCTTACTGGACCAGGAGGGTAGCTGAAACCATGTATATGATTGGCCATGGTGATACTATTATCTCCACTCCAGAGGTGCAGAATGACAGCATTAGCAGCCAATCACAGGGTGTTTCCTTACTGTTCAGGATAAGAATTAGAGCTGGTCGAAGTTTTTCCAAATGATTTTTTTTTCTAGACTGACCTGCACCTAGCCCATAACTTCTGTTTTATTTAGAGCATACCTTCTCTAAAGATATCCCATCTAAATGTAAAAACTTTCTGTGATCAAGGCCCTGTCTACATTAGCACTTTTTTCAGGGGTGTGAAAAAAATACCCCCCTAAGTGACACACTTCACCACCATAAGCGGTAATGTTCACAGCGCTATGTCGGCAGGGGAGGGTCTCTTGCCGACATTGCTACCACGGTTCGTTGGGGGTGGCTTTATTACATTGACGAGACAGCTCTCTCCCGTCAGCTGGAGAGAGCTTACCGTGGAACAGCTGCATTGGTACAGCTGTGCCGCTGTAAGCTCTCTAGTGTAGACATAGCCAGAGACTCCACCACATCCTAGGTTAATTGTTCCAGTGGTTAATTAATACTGTTAAAATTTGCACCTTCTTTCTTGATTCAACTTGTCTAGCTTCAGTTTTAGATGATTGGATCTCATCTTCCTTTGTTTGATTAAAGAGCCATCTCCCATCACAAATCTCTTCCCCCTGCAGTTACGTATATGCCAGGATCAAGTCACCTCTTAACTGTCTCAGTGGTAAATTAAATAGATTTTAGCCTAACCTTTGAGCCCACCTCTGGAGGCCAATGGGATTCCTATGTTTAATCTGATTGAAAGGTCCAAAAATAATGTAAAAGCCCCAAAAGGAGAGTAAATTCTGAATACTCACAACCAAATCACCTTCATGGCTTAAATCAGCCTAGAAGAAAACAAAAACGATTACTAAAACATTAATTCCTTGTTGCTGCTCTTTCTCTGGGAGCAG